CAAGCCAAAAAAGGCAGCAGACGAGCCCCTGCTTGCTGAAGACAAATCCATCTGTGGTCTGCCTGGGGGTACATGGATCGGAACTGCCAGGCAGAGCAAACCATTGGAAATTGCTGTTTAGGTTTGAAAAGATGAGTCGAAAGAGAAAAACGACTGCTCTATAAGTAGAGGTTAAGAAAGAAATGGGAATGGAAGCCCCAGTGTTCCAGCGCTCGGCTTTTCCAAAGACACGTGGCTCAGCTCTTCCCAGAACAGCGCCAGGCAGAGCTGGGTGATTTGTAATTAAGCTCACAGACCAAAGAGTGAGTCTTGTAAACAGCCAGTGATGTTGCTGACTTCTCCCCAGAGGGTTGAGATGCACCAGCATCCACATAATAACATTATATTTCACTTTTAAATAAGATGTACATGAATGTTCACTTGCGCCCAATTACAGTAATGCATGATTTACATAAAATTAACTCTCCTGCTTAATTACAGTCACACAGGGATTAGGGAGAAAGGGATTTTTACTTTGTAAACAGTACATGTGTTAACACTTAACCTCTTCATGAAATAACTCGTCCAATCATAAATGAAAACGAATTCCTTAGTTGCTGGGTTTTGCCATACATTTTCTTCTCTTTTACCAGGATTATGTGTAAATTGAGTGTGTATCTAGTTAGGGCAAAGGAAGCCAATTCTTTTGAAATTTCAGTGCATAAACTGGATTGCTTTGTAGCAAGGATCCAGCATTCAGAAATTTGGCATACACTATGGAATTTAACCCTCTGGGTAAGGAACCTGCAAAGGGCAAGAGAGTGAGTCTCCAGTTTTCCAAAAGCAGCAAAGAAAATTCTTTCTTTAAAGGGCGATCCAAAGCTGCTTTGACAACAAAATGATTAAAGGCTGCTGCTTCTCTCATCTTACATCTGTCACTTTTCTGCATCCTCCTTTCACCACAAACAGGAACACACTTTTCCTTTGAATAGGACTTCAGATTGCACATTAACAGGGAATTAAAAGTGAAGTTCACTGCAACCCACACCAAAAGGATTTTTCTTTTTCCTCCGCCTCTGCCAGACCTGATGCCAGAACTGGAGTTGAAGAAAATGCATTGAGCTGGCACAATAAGAAAATGATTGAAGGCAACAGGGATTGAAGTTTCATCGTTATCAGTTCAGTGGGGACATGGAAATGCTTCTCTGAAAAGATGCACAAAAATACCTCAAGGGAACTAAATGCTCGCCGCGCTGGCTAACCCCGGAAGATGGCAATTTCGTTTAGCCACATCGTTGCCCTCTTTCCACCTGGTACTCAGAAGAGTAGAGAAAAGCCTTGGGAGGGAGAAAGAGAAATGAGGCAACTGTGAGCACCCAAGAAAAGTCAAAGAGCAGAATCTTAGGGCAGATCCAGTTTAAGATTAATCGACGGACTGTACATTGAAGTTAAGCAAATCGGATCTTACTTTCAAAAAGCTAAAAAATAGAGAATCACATTCCCAACTCAAGACCTGGTACTTAACTTCTTTAGAAATACTTCTAAAACATATTTTTAATAAACTAGATACCTATAGCATACCAAGTAGTTTCATTAAAAAGTTTGTTAACTAAAAATCACTAACCAAGAACTGCATTTAATATGTGGAAGCATGGCCTAGGATGCAAAACTATTTTACTTCGTAACCCCTTCCTGTTTTGTTCATTCTTCAACAAAGCATTTCAAGTCCTTGAATTCAGGAAGGTTTTTGCCGGGAGAGTTTCAAAGATACCTTTGGAAAGTCTGGAGATAGGGTCGCCAGGTAGTTTGGGGGAAAATGTGTCTAGTCATCTAGGTTTTACTTATTTCTTTTCATCATTGAAAATTTTTCTGACAGGATCTGAGACATGAGAGAGATTAAGTTGTCGATTTTCTGTTTGTTTGGTTTCTTGCTCCTTTGAAATCAAGTCCTTTCTGTTCTCTTGAGTTACCATCTCTCTGGAACTAGCTGCTTCACATTGTGCCCAGTGCTATAAAGCATCCTTACTTTCAAATGCATGAATCAACCTTCAATTTCCCATCTTTGATCCTTCATTGAGTTGTTGTTTCACAATATCAAAAATCCTCTAAAGCTATCACTTGAATCATGGCCATCCTCAAAGAAACACTGTGTCAGGTTTGATCCTGAATACACAAAATCAAAACTCCTTCCATTTCAGATAAAACCCTTTATTTGACCTGATAGTAATGGAATGAAACTGTCCTTAAAATACTGACTTTGTCTTTCTAGCTATGTTTGAGGATTTTAAGAATTGATATTATGGCTTATTGATTGTAATAAGGTATGATGTATATAAAATTACAATTTATGACTAAGGATAAAAACACAAACCACATATATTGATTTCTTACTCATGCTTTATAGGAGAGTCATTGTTTTGGGCACTTTATGAACACTATTTCATTTATTTCTTATAGTAAGTCTCTGAGATATGTTATTATTATACCAATGTTATGATTAAATAATATAAAGTAACTGGCAAAGTTGAAAATAATTTGGCCAAGGTCACAAAGCCAGGACAAGCCACTGCCAAGATATGAACCCAAATCAAACTGAAATCCATTCTGCTCCACTAAAAAAAAAAAAAAATAGAAAAAGTTCCATGCTTTTTTCATTATGTTTTACTTTATACTGGCATGTAAGAAATCAGACATCTTTTAGAGTTACCTGTTAGCCAGCCAAAAGCTTGTCCCAATTATGCTGCTATTGCTCCAACTATTTTCAAATTTTGCCATGGAAATTATCTTCAGAGACAATTTATCAACGACCCCAGAGCACCTGTTTTAACACATTATAAGGATGCTGTATTTTGGATTCTACCTTTCTCTCCCTTCTCTTCATCCTCCTCCCAAATTTAGCTATACACATAGTTCTTTCTACCTAAAGTATAGCTGTTAGTAAAAAGAGCTGAACAAGATAATTCCAGATTCTTATAAGTGATATCATATCAGACATTATCTTGTTCGTGTATATGTTTACTTGTTTGTGTATCTCTTTTCCACCTCCACCTTCTCTACCCTAAGGAATGTTGGTCTTCAGGCGATCAAGAAGTCTGTGTTGTCAGTATGACCCCAGTGCTTTGTAGGTGCTCAATTAATACTTGATGAATGAATGAACGAAATTAACATCATCCCTGAGCTTCTGCCAAGCCTCCTGGAGCAACTGCTTTATGCAAGTCCGGAACATAACTGTGCCATTATGGCATAAATCAGTGGAAGATGAATAAGATATGTTCAGTTTGAAAGTTGCTAGTCTCTGAAAAGAGCCCCAAAAGCATAAGCCAACAGTACAGAGGCTGCTAAAAAGGCCGCAGGGTCTTTTTTCCTTTCCCCTTTCTTCCTTCCAATCCTCCATAAGCCATACCAGCTTCCAGGCAGCACCCTGGTGGGGCAAAGGGTAGTATGGAGTTGGTGTGCTATAAATTATAGTCTTTACAACATGCCAGCAGCTCCCTAGCTGAGATCTTGAACTCATTGCTGTGAGAGCTTTCAAGGCCATTCACTTTCAGGGAGGTTTAGAAGCGTCAAATGCCTTTTGCAACCCACCAGGCTTTTTGACTCATGTGAGTCTGACACTGGTTGGGTGCATTTTATCTCGCAATCAATTTAATTAAGAGCTTTCAGATTAAAAATGATGTGTTGTCCCTGAAAGGCACTCGAACCCTGAGATTCATTTGTAAAAGCTGTTCTGTTTCCCTCGTCCCTCATTCTGTCCTTTCCACACCTAGCACAAAGCCGCATAAGGGGACAACGTTTTGTGACCACCTTGATTGGCAAAGAAAGGCAGGTCATAAAGCTCATTTTTTAAAAAATCAGTGATTTCTAAGTCATTATTGGAATCTTCAGATGTCATACACAATGCCCTTTCAACAGTCAAAATGGAAATGTGTCCTTGTTTTATTTCTTATTAATATCACTTATTTCTTTCTTTTCTTCAAAGAAGAAAAACTTTTGCACTGGCTCTGCATGGCAGACATCAGAATGACCAAAAGGTGAACCGGTGTGCAGGATAAAACTCAAACACAAATCTAGGCAGGAAGAAAGGAACAAGGGGCACCTGGGCCTATTTCATTTGTTCAAGACACGGGTCCTGATTCTATCATTTGCTATTCCTGTGACGGGACGCAAGTAAAAAAGAAAAATGTTAGCTACCTAAGAACAGTACTTCCAAAGCTACTGAGGTAGAAACTGTAAAATGAATCTTTCTTTCCATGAGGTCAGCCATAAATGAAAGAGACGTATCCAGAATAAATTACCACCAGCAAAGGCAAGCAGAGATCCCTCTCTGGTGAGGAAAGTAAGTAACTTTGGATTCTACCTGCCAAGCTTTCGGTATCATATGGAAGAGTTGAGAGGTACGATGAGGAAAGGCCACTTTAAATGACCTAATTTTAAGGATCTACATTGCAACCCTGGCCTGTTTTAAAATTTCAAATAAAAAGAGCCTGCTTGGTTAATAGTTAATAAAAATGATTAGTAGGTAGAAGGCCCTGAATTTGTCAGACCCAAAATGTGCTAGAGAGAAAAATCTATAAGATACTACAGGAGATTAAACTGTTTTTAATTGCATATATTACTATAATGTGTTTGCACATTTATTATTAAAATTTGATTACTTTTTCCCTCCTTAGTATAAAAAAAGTAAACTGGAAGTCCAGAGAGATTTAATTGTGCTGTGTTTGTTATCAGAATTGGGTCCATTTAAATCTGTCCTGGGTCCAATGAACTATCCCAAAAAGAGGCTGTGGGGACAGGACTATATTAGGGACAACAAATTCAGGGCAAGGACAGCCTCAGCTAACTATAAAGGGATTTGCCAACTGCAAGGACTTCCACATTGGGTACATGGGAACTGAGGCAGAATGCTTGCCATGTACTTTTAATTTCTGAGTAGAGACTTGCTCTAAAAACAATTGCAAGGAGATCAATGAAGCCAGGATACCTATGAATAATACACGCTGGCCACTGGTTCCTTTTTTTTTTTTAAACATCACTATGGTTTTCCAGCTAAATGAAACTCTCAGAATAAATAATTTCTAATTGATCTCGGAAAACTACATTATCCGCCTTGTTTTTACCATTCTTGAGATGTGGGTTTGGGGAGATCTAGGGAAAGAGGTGGTGAGGATCCACGGCTGACAGCACAAATACCGGGTCTGGCAGGGTAGCTGTTCTGTGCACCCTTTGAGAAGTCTTGTCTGAGCACTATGACGGCCATAGCTATTATGGCCAAGGACTTCACCACATTGACATTTGGCAGCAGAGTATTCTGGCAGTGCAAGAGAATCCTGTCTGAAGCACAATCTGCCTTGTTTTATGCTGTATTCAAGAAGGAGCTGCATGTCCTAATCACTTTTTAAGGTGGAATACAATCTAGGAAACAAAGAGATCTGAGGACTTGTACAATAATAATAACAGAAGCTTGCCAAGTAGTGAGGTGGTGGAGCAAAGCACATTGTTTAGTGTTTACATTTCCCGGAAGAATTGTCCACTATTTGTGAATTACCTTAGATACTCATACGTTAGACAATTGAATTCTAGGTTTGCCTCTGGGCCTATGAAGCCCTAAATGGTACGTACCTTTTGAAACCAAAGCTGCCTGCTGCCCTACGTCTCATTAAAGGCCCTGCGACCAGCAGGATTAGATTTGCTGACCATCCTGGTGTACACTTAAAAGAAAAGAAAAGAAATGAAGAACTCTCCCTAAGGAATCCCTTTACCCAAACCTTTTGTAGTACCTTTACAGTCTTCTTTAGAGAGGGAATAGAAACCTTTTCCCCTGACTTATGGGTATCTTGATTTTATAAAATGTTGCTCAGATGTTATAACCTAGATTGAAAAGACATCTTTCGCTCTCCATTCATTCAGGATTAAAATGGTACCGATTTTAGTTCAGCCATCTCAGTTATGAGATATAATAAAATCAGCACTGTGGCAAGACAATTACTGACAATATTGTGATTATATCAGCATATGTATGGGTCTTAGACCAATCTGGCCCTACAACTATTAAAATGCTTGGTGGGTTCAAATTAGTACAAATGTCTTTTGAAGGTAATTTCAAAAAGTGATATACTCCTAAAATGAAAGAATTGTTCACCTCTTTGAAAAATTTAAACAACAAACAAAGTTCAGAATGATAGTTCAATAAGAATGAGAAATAATTCATGTAGATACAAAGATTTAAGAAGGTTACATCAGATTTAACTATCCTAGCATTATTAATTTAATTTCTAGTCATTATGGTAATACTAAGCATTTAGAATGCATTTGCTGTTTATGTAGATGGAATCGCTCCTTCTCAAAATTACAATTTTGAATTAATATGCTATTTAAAATGTCACTAGAAAGTGCTTTTATTATTCTGACAGTGAAATAACTGTTCCGTTTCTTTTTACAAATGAAATTTCAGCATTTATTTTTGATCTTCCTTAGAATTTGAAAAACTGTAATGTTTCTGTTTAAGAATTCTCCTTATGCTACATTAGTGCCATGTTCTTTGACAGCATAAAAATATGCAAATATAGCCTTTTTAATGGTGATTTTTCATTTTGTTACTGTCATTTAACTAAAAAACAACTGATGATGTTTCAACTTATCACTTACAACAGTGAAGTCACTGAATTGATATTTATGTTCAGAGCAGATGACACAGAAACAAATATGTTTGAAATACCATCTGCACCATGTTGATTTCTTCCTTAAAGGCACAATAGAGTTGTTGAAGTTCAGCCTTACAGGGGAAATCAGACTTGGGGGCAGAGATGGCACATTACTTCCTACCTAAGAAAAATGGGTAAATGAGATTTACTGAATTTAGAGATGCATTGTGAGTGGGGGGAGGGAGAAGGGAAGAAGGGAAACAGTGAGACTGTGAAATTTACAACTTCATAGGGATCTTTGCATCTGGCAGCAAGTGCCCTCCCTGTGTCCTGGGCCTCCATCTCCCCGACTGCCCACTTGGCCACCTGCCTCATTGCCTACCTCTCCTTGCAGCCTCCACTCAGTGTTACGCAGCTTCTCCATCTGCTGCTGGTTGCCAACCTGCTGCTTAGGAAACCCCAGAATACTGTGCACTGAACTATGTGGGAGTGGCACTGTTCACAGCTATCTGAACCGAGAGAGGCAGGCAGCTGGGTGGGAGGAAAGTTGGAGAGAAGAGCCTGGCTGGAGCAACATGCTGCGCCTAGCGAGACTGACTCCCCAAGGTGGACCTGAAGGCTTAATTCGAGAGTTGTTAGGAAACGTGATATAGGAAGCTTTCCACCATTCCAGAATGATTAGAAAATGAAGAGGAGAACTCCTGTTAAGGGGCCAGTGGATAGAGTATTGTACTAAATGAGATTTTTCTCTTAGCTTGACCTAGGTAAATGGCGCTACACAATTCAATAAACTCCACTCTGCCTAAATTTCCCAGTGCTGGCATGCCCACATCCAGTCTTCATGGGTAGAATAATGAGGTTCCTTTAAAGTTTCACACACACACACACACACACACACACACACACACACACACACACTCGCATCTAGCTTATCTCCATGCATAGATCCCATTGTCAGGTGATAATAATTATAATAATAGTTATTGAAAGGGTGGGAAATTCATACACAGGCAGAGAAAGATATCACACACAAAGACTAAAATAAAAAGAAGTTAAAAGTTTATTTATTTTTCCGAGAAAGAGAGAGAGAGGGAAGGAGGGAGTGGCCAAGACGTGCAGAGGAAGGAAGGAAGTGCCAGGCCATTGAGGAAAAGCTGTTTGGAGTTTTTAAAGGGTAAAAAATGGCTTTTTTTCCTCTGCTTCAGCAAACGGATAACAGAAGCGGCTGCAAAGCTGTTGCAGGTGCTCTTTATTTTTTTCTCTTTTCTCTGTGAGGCCAGCTTATCTGAGTACTTGAGATGTGTTTCTGGCAGGAACTGAGGCAGAGAGCTGGAGCCGGGAGTTCACATCCCTACTGTCCGTTTAGGGCTCTTCAAGGCTGAGAAAACAAAACTCTTACAGGTAATGAGTTAGACCACAGTTGTTTAGTTAAACAAAACAAAAGGGGTAGTTGTGTTGTGAATCTTCTTTTCAAAGAGGCAATTATGTGACATGAGTTTATTTCCCTTACTTTCTGTTAATTTTCCTCTCTTAGTTATTAGTAAGGCCACCTTTCAGTTATCATTAATTAAGCACTTACTATTGGACATGATTAGTGTTAAGCACTTTACATGCTATGCCAAATAATTTTCATCTGCCTCTCAGAGCCACTCTCCATACCCTGGGAGGCCGACCACTCTGGACTGCATCTTTAGGCATCCTAGCCTCAGACTCTTAGACAGCTTCAGCCTGCCTGCAAGTCACTTCAAGTAGATAGGAGGGAGGAAGAAAAAGTTCAAGGTAATATTTCCTCTCTGCCCTGTCACTAAAGAATGGCTATGTCCTTCTCTCCAAAACCCTAACCAGAAGTTGTCTCCTAAAGCTATAGATTCCTACCTATTCCCTCTCAGGCCTGGAGGTGGTAGCTGTCCCTTGTCACCATCCCTTGCTCTTTCCCTCAACCCTGCCCACACCTTTGTAAACATTCCCTTTGTTAAACTCTTCTCCATCACCCTGTCTTGGGTGTGCCCGTGAGATAGCTACCCGTTTATAGGTGAGAAAACTATGATTTAAAATTGGTTTAGAATTTGCCACAGGTCATTTATCTAATAAATGCAATGTCCAAAGTACAAACTCATTTTTCTAACTCTGAACTCCTGCCCAGTACTGCCAAGATGATCAATTCTAACTTCATAATATTTATTGTATTAGTCTGTCTCTTGCCCTTATCATTGTAAAACCCAAACTCTTGCCAAGACTATGGCAATTCTATCATATTAGGGAAGATTTACTTAGCTTTATATAACAGAAAACAATTCAAGTTTCACATAAGACAAAAAGAGAAGCAATCTAAGATTACGGTAGGCAGTTTTGAATGGCCCCATGAGCCCCACCCACTCCCTGGTGTTCATGCTCTGTGCAACTCCCACCCCTTCAGTGTTGGCTACATTAATTCATTAATTGACATCTAATGAATGGAAAATAGAAGTATTAAGATCTCACTTTCAAAATTAGGTTGTAAAAGAAAAACAAACATGGCTTCAATCTTAGATGCTGGTGCTTACTCTTATTCTTGGGTCACTTTCTTTAGAAAGAGCTAGCTGCCATTTGTGAAGCAGCCCCGTGAAAAGGCCTATGTAGCCAAGAAGTGATGCCTTTCAATAGCCACACGAGTGAGCTGGGATGTGGCTCCTTCCCCAGTTGGCACTTCAGATGACTGCTGGTCCAGCCAGTGCCTTGATTGCAGCCTGTGAAAGACCCTGAGTCAGAACCTCCCAGCTAAGCAACTCCATTCTTGACCCACGGAAACCATGAGTTAATAAATGTTTGTTGTTTTCAACTATTACATTTTGGGGTAACGTGTTATGCAACAATAGATAACTTACCTAGATTTTGATTGTAGAGTGGTTCCAGAGGAACATAATCATTAAGATGAGCTCTCTAAACAAGTTCTAGGTTCTGTGAGCTGCACAGGAAAGTTGGGGTGTAGAAACAGAACAGCACCCATTTTGTGGCACTCACATGCCATTGCTGATCTGCTGCCTAACCTCTGGCACACGGCCATAGTTGGGCCTGCAACTATTCCACTTTCCCCTGGGGCTCCCCTTCCAGCATCTCTGACTCCTGGACTAGGTGTGTGTGTTTAGTTAATAACCTTACAGAAACTGCTTAACCAAATCCTGCAAGCAGGGGTCCCCAACCCATGGTGAGTTGTATAATTATTTCATTATATATTACAATGTAATAATAATAAAAATAAAGTGTACAATAAATGTAATGTGCTTGAATTATCCCAAAACCATGCCCCCAGCCTGGTCTGTGAAAAAATTGTCTTCCATGAAATTGGTCCCTGGTGCCAAAAAGGTTAGGAACTGCTGGTAAGGTCAAATATGCTGAATTTCATAAGTTCGAGAAAAGTTTTAACAATAAGCCTAGGAAAGTCAGGCACCAGAACAGTCAGCAGCAGAAGTTAGCGGAACCCCTCTCTCTAGCTCTACCATAAACTCCACTCAGGTCTACCAGGTACCCCTCTCAGGTCTCCTAGTCCATATTCTTGAGAGATAATTTGATTGATCTAGTTGGAATCAGCTATCTTCCTTTGACCAATCAACTGGGAATTTGGGATATTATGTGCTGAAAAACACATAGAGATACAGTTTCCAGAAAAGAAGAGCAGGTCCAACAGCCCAACAGGTCACACTGGCTTCCCCAAAGGGCCCCCTGCCTCCAGTCTCTCTCTTCTGATTGATCCCATCCATTGGGGTCCTACTTTCTACTAAGTATGCAGGGCTCATCTCAAACTGGTCAAAAGTATCATTTGAAGCCCAGATAATTCACCAACATTGTCCACAGTTCATACTTGATGTACACAAGCCACTTTGAAATCCCATAAAGCTACAGTTGTATATGATTTATAACAGTTATGACTTTGGCCTTTTATTGTTATAATTACTTATGGACTTCAAAGTTGAGCTAAGTGTTAAAATGTATTGCACACTTGTCTTGCTTTTATTCAGTAATACTCAATGTTAGCACACTTTGATAAAGGTATCATAAGTAGAGAAGCTACTTTGAGATGCTTTCTGACATTATAGAGAGGGTAAAACTTTTTCTTTTAATTAGATTCTTCTCCTTTTACTGTAAGTAATGTTTGTTCACTCAGTGAATGACTGCCTGATAAGAAGAAAGACATACCATAACACCCTAATAATGTTCATGTCAAATAAGGGCAAGAACAGTTATCATCATGAACTCTTAAATGTACTCTGTAGGCGTTGAATGGCTTTTGTTTAACACAAGTCATTAGGTACACAAATGGGAACACTGTACATTCACTTAAATGTGTTCAATATGCTCATGAAGTTGCACTAAAACAATGTGCAATACTAAGTGGTATTGTCCTTTGCTTCCCATTTGCTAAATATCTTATTAGTATTTTGAATTATAAAAATGAGGAGATTGGGCAACTGGAGTCATGGATCTCAATTTCTTGTGCACAACAGAATCACCTGAGGAAGTCATTGTGATAAAAGTCCTGGACTCCAGTCCCATAAATTCAGATTCAGTTGATCAAGGATGGATCTGAGAATTTAAATATTTAAGAAGCACCCCAGGTGATTCTGATGAAAGACATCTGCCTATCCACAGCCTGAAAAATTCATGGATACTGAAGTCTGCTCAGCTTTAAACCAGTCAGTTCTTGAATAAATACCAAAAACACTCCTAATTCTTGTGAACTCAATCATATCACAAAGCCATCCCCCAACCCAAAAGAAATTACTTCTGACTTGGATACTTGCACTGAGTAAAAAGGTGAGTTAACCAAAAGTTCAAACAAGCAAAGAAAATTCTAGGGAGGAGAAAAGGAAAAGGTCAGCGTGAACGTGAACACCGCTCAGTCTGGGTCTCAGTGCATCTTGCTAATAGAGCCTGGGAAGCTCAGCTGTAGCTGAGAGCAAGTACGCTATATGCTAGTTGTCTAAATGCTAGTCTAGACAAGTATCCTAAATGCTGTTTCGAATGTTTGGGAAATCGGCCTATAAGAGCATCCCTTTATTAGTACCAGCTTCACAGACACGGTTGCTTTTAGAATGATGTTAAACAACTTCTCTTAAGACCTACAGCCCTGGTGCCTCTGCTATGTGTCAGGCACAATTTAACCTTCATTACGTTCTCAGCAGCAGTGTTTATATGAGACACTGTGATCACCACGCGTTGCTTCCTCTTTTTGTCTTTCTACAGCCACAAATACCAGGTACTTTAAAAAAAAAAAAAAAAAGCCTGCAGTTAGTACAACAAACCTATCTGTGTTACGCAAGCTCATCCTGAGGACAATGGGCTTTCAATGGCCATGTAGACAGGTTTCAAGGATGACCGAGTGGCAGAGGATGCTAAAATGAATGGCACAGGCAGGTGGAACTGACCAGGGTGTCTGGCCAGTGGTGAAGGGAAACTCAGGGATCCTGGTAGAAGGCCAACAGCAAGACAAGGTATGATCAGGAGCAGGCAGAGGCCTAGGGCTCCACGCTGAGTGAACAGGCCACTGAAAAAAGAGTCAATTCTCATACCACCAGAGAAAAAAGAAAAGAATGAGGTGTCCTATCGTCAAAAAGTCACAGCCCAGGGGAGTTGAAAAGGTCCCGAGACAAAAAATAAAACCGTCTATGCTAGTCAGCTGCTAGAGCCCAGGAATCAGGAGAAGGGTCTTGGGGTCTCTCTGCTGACCTTGGCAATGTTTCTCAAAATGAAATGTCTCTGTTACTGACTTCATAACCATCCAGAGAATTGGTTAAAAAATGCAAATTAATTTGATGCTACCCAGGTGTACTTAATGAAACTGTCCAAGGGTGGGGCTAAACTCCTACGGCTGATTCTACGTTCTGTGTAAGTGGCTCTTCCAATATGCTTTATTCAGCTCTCTTCTCCCTTCCTCCAATCTCATTTAATGCAATTAGGTGTTAGTGTCTTTATCTCAGGACTCTCATCTATTTCCTTTGAAAAATCTTATTGGATCTAGCAGAGTGGAGGTTCTCAAGAGCATACAGACTATTCATTAAATGTTTTTATAGACCCCAAAAGTTACAGGACAAAACATTATCGGCCAATGGTGTCATAACGTCTAGAAAGAAAACACTTACTTGAGACAATTCCAAAGAATACCATTTTCTTACCAGAGTAGAGAAGTGTTACCAAATTGTTCTCTTGGATTAATGTAGCAACTTTTCCCTAATGAGTTCTAAGCTGTTCCATTAGAATAGCTGTAAAAGTAAGACAAGAGAAAGGAATCGAGTCACCCAAAGTGGGTATTAACCATTAGAAAAGGGAAAGGAAAATCCAGTCTTCCAACCCTCAGTAGAATATTGCTGTATCTATTCAATATCAAATGTGGGAAATCAGATAAAACATTCAATAGAATTTCCCCAATATTGCTTTCTGTAATTTGAATGGAAAATGAGACCTGCAGTAATACAGATAACAAAATAATATTTACTATCTATACATAGCTCATCTACTAGAGGAAGGCAACAAATAAATACACACATGTGCAAAAAACGATGTGAAAGAAGGAAGAGAATTAGTAACTGCAGTTTTCCCACAAATTGTTTTGTAAAGTGATGATAAAATTCCCAAATCACATGTACGGAGTTCCCAACTTACGTACACACAGCCCCTAGCAAGAATAGCAGCCAAGTCACATGCTATCACTGAAGCCAAGGACAATTACTGGAAAACACCATGAACTCTACTTTCCTCTCTTTTGTACCCACCTCCGCATGTGCGGCTTTTGAATCTTGCCCAAAGTAAACAAAACTGTACTTGTACATTCCACCAATGAAGAATGTTACACTTACTCAAACTTGTGGAGGACTGTGAGTACTTTCGAATTAAACTAACCTTGCAAGTCTTACTATTCTGTCATTCTTTAAGGAGTTCCTATTAAGTCTTAAATGCTTCAGAGATTAAAAGGGTATATTAATGTTATTAGAGACTTGAAATAAAATGCCATGCCTTGCAGGGTATCTTTGCACTTAATGAAAACATTTTCATCACATTCTAAGTCTATTATGCCAGATCTTCATTTCATAAGTTGTAAGATAATCTTATTTTAATTAGAGGAGATATACCAAGTATATTAGAGTAATACAGTTAAATATATTCATCAACTTTCTTCTTGTCAGGTAAAATGCCTCCTTCAGAGTTTGTTAGAAAGATGTGCTATCACAGGTGTAAGTAAAATTATATGTGTGTGTGTATAAAAGTTCTGAACGATTTCTAGAGAATTAATGACTAAATGACTGTTTTCTAAGAACGACCCTCTCTAACCCTCTCTTAAGCTACAACTGTCCCATATAGTAGTAGCCATTGTCAAATGTGGCTATCGAGCACTTGAGATATGGCCAATTCAAACTGAAATGTACAAAAAATATATAGTACAAATTGGATTTTAAATATTTGGATTTTGTATATTTAATACATATGAAATATCTCATTGCTAATGTATACATTGATTCCATGTTGAAATCATATTTTGGCTATTGGGTTAACTAAAATATATTATTAAAATTAATTTCACCTGTTGCTTTTTACTTTTTTAAATATGGTAACCAGAAAATTTTAAGTTCTATATGTAATGCACAATACATTTCTCTTAGACATTCATGCTCCAGGTCATGTCACCAACATATAAGGTTAAATCTTTATTATCTGTGATATATTATTCTCCATGTTATAAGTAAAAAATATAAATAATAATATGATGAATCTCAAATTGGTGCCTCCTAAATTCTGAACAAATTCCCAGTCCCTTTTTCCCACTGTCCAGTCAGTTAAGTAGAAGAATGGAAAAGCCAGTCTCACCCCACAGGTGGGTTTGTGGCTGCAGAAGGAAGTTGGATAGTCCTTTCCACGACCCAGACGTGGCTCCTGTGATTGTCAGCAGTGGACTGTGAAATGGAGCTCGAAGTACCTGGGAGAGAAGCAGTCTTCATAGCAATCACATTTACAAGCCAGACATTCCTACAGGACAGGGAAAGCCCCAAATTCCACCTTAGGTTTTGCAATTCTTGAAAAGGAAAGGAAGAGAAAAAGTGTACATACGGGTAGGAAACATTTTCAAAATCAACAAGTACCCCTAGAGACTCAAACACCTTGTAAACTCCAATCAAAACAGATAGGACTTACACAAAAGCCACAAATGCCAAGTCGGTAACATAAAGGCCATACAAATATTTTTAAATGTGAAGCTTGCTACTCTCAAAGAAAAGGAATGTAGAGCAGGTCAAGAGGCAAACTGAAAACAAATGGTCCACGAAGAAATCAATAGAGCCTCTCGCAAGGGACTCCAAAGCAAAACGCGAACCCCTTTACGTACGACAGTCAAGAAGCCAGTCAGAAAAGGCCACTGAGGGATGGAAAGGTGATAGCAAGGAGAATCAATGAATCATTCGCTTCAGTCTTTACTGAAGAAGACTTTAGAAAGACTCACTTGTATCTTGCCTTAAAGCAGACAGGTCAGAGATACTAGAACAAACAGTGGAAAACAGGATTTTCCTCCACCTAAGTGACAAATGAGATGTAAATAAATCACCAGGACCAGACGGCATCTACCCAAGACTGCTAAAGGAACTCTAGGGCGAAATATAGAACTGCTGGCCAAAATGGATAAACCTGTTGTTATTAACTGCCACTATATGAGGAGATTGGCAGCTTGCCAGGGTGACTCACACCCATGAAAAGGACTCCAGAGGAGATTCTGGAAACAAAAGTCTCAGTCTGATTTCTAATCTTGATGGGATGATGGCATCTACAGAAAGGTTAAAGATACAACACCTAGAGGAGCCATCATTTATATGACAGGGTGTCTTGGCTAATAATCTATCAGGGACATTTTTAGATAACTTGGGAAACTTGAACCAGTAACTAAGAAATTCTTGAAATTTTATAGAGCTTTTTTAAGAGTGCTTATCTGTTATCAGACTGAAGTATTTATAGATGAAATTATATGATATTCAGGATTTGCTCTGAAATACTCCCAGAAGAAAAATATTTAGGGAAAAGGATATATGTAATGAGAAAGCAAGCAGACTATTGATAAGATGGGTACATAGTTGTTTATTAACCTTTTCTCTCTACTTTTATGTGTTTGAAAATCTCCATGATAAAGCTAAAAATTAATCAAGGACAGAATATAAAAATATATAAGTACAAGTCCAAAGGGAATTGAGATTTTCAAAAACACTTTGATAAAGTTCCACACCAACATTTTATACACACATGCACATACACAAACCCACATACAGAATGTGTTTCAAGTTTGTAGGTGATATGAAACTCATTTCAGTAGGAAACTGTCTGAGTTTACAGGAAAATAAAATGCCAAAAAATAAACCTTCCAACATTGCCTAAGTAGAAAGAAAAATGGTGTATGATCTTTGATGTGTACCAATATTAAAGAATTGAGTTTAGAAAACAGTAATATAGAAGTATATGTGTAAAATATGAGATCTTATGAATTATAAAATTCTAGGAAAATGTTTAGGAAGAACTGTGAACCATTTTCCCTAAAATCAGCTTATTTTGGTTCTCTGCTAAAGCGAAACACAATGCTGGGGACCCCTGGGAGAGTTTTTTGGAAATAAAACATTTTCAAAACTAGGTATGTCTAAGATAACAAAGCATCTGTTTTTTATGGACGAATATCATATCTCAGTGACAGTACAACTAACTGAATGAGGTCTAGAGAACAACATCTCTATTAAGAGCAACGGTCCCCAACCTTATTGGCACCGGGACCAGTTTCATGGAAGACAATTTTTCCACGAACCTTGGGGGGGATGGTTTCAGACAAATTCTCATAAGGAGCATGCAACCTAGATCCCTCACATGCACAGTTTATACAGGGTTTGCTCTCCTACAGTAATCTAATGCCACTGCTGATCTGACTGGAGGTAAATCTCAGGTGGTGATATGAGAGATGGGGAGCGGCTGTAAATACAGATGAAGCTTTGCTCACTAACCTGCCACTCACCTCCTGCTGTGTGGGCCAGTTCCTAAGAGGTCATGGACCAAAACCAGTCCACGGCCTGGGGATTGGGGACTGCAGGTTAAAAGAGGACTGAGTAGACTCTGCATCAAAATAGACTCAAATAATGAAAACTTCTGAATTTAGAAAGACAAAGATTGAGTGATATAATACAATAAATGTTTGTGAATAAAAAGCACAGAAAATGACTGAATATAGCTTTATTTACCAATTCCTAAAAGTAAGGACTACTCCTTGAAATGTTAAAGCTTTAGTTCTCAAACCAATAAAATTAATAATACTATACAGTGAGAGCTAACTTTAAAAACATGTTACCCCCAAGAAAGGATTGAAAGTAAAAATACAAAGGGATGGAAAGAAACCTGACATAAATTATGTCCAAGTTACTGAGGATCACTCATGGATACTTAGAAAACAAATCCACATGTTTTTAAAGAGGAAACTAAGAAGTGCAAAAAAAATTACTACAATATCTATAGGTACTTCTCTCAGAGTTAGAATAGTAGGCTACGTGGACAACTAAACTGTACAAGTTTTATTGAATTAGCTTCCTCTGATGTATTGGTGTCACTTTTCTCCTTAATTATAATTTAACATTAACTATAATAATACCAATCTTCCAGATATATAATTCAATATCAAATCATAACTTCACTTATTATGAAAAGACTGTAGACTGTGACTCACATGATAAAAAAGTGCTCATTAAAAGTCCCAAACATTTATATTATGTTTTATTATATTATTTTTATATAAAGTTTAATTCTCCAATCATTACAAAATTAGTGTTGCTAAATTGTTTTATTTAGTTTTTCCTTAAAAGCTATAGTAATTTTATAACCATTGGTTGACTAAATCCTTTACTCATACTAAAAAGTAGATGATATTCCTATAAGAGATTATTAATTTAATGTGTTACTCATGACATTGTCTTCTAAATCCCAAGACACTGAGTATGAAATAGATAACTCATTTCATCAGTTAACCAAGAACAGTCATTTTACACTCAGGGAAGCTCATGTAAACAGAGATTAAATAACAACAGGAATAATGACCATCAAGATATCTGCTTATTTTATCTTATTTTAAAAGTATCACAATACTTCACGATTTTTTCTAAAACATCAACTAATCACTACGTTCCAAGAGTAAATATTTTCATGCTATATATCTGAAAAGATAGCATAATTTCTTAATCTTTTTCCATTCTGCTTGTTCATGGGTCTTATTTTAGACACCTAAAGCTTTTTTTTTGCAAATTTATAAGTTATGAAGCCAAAAGTGAGGTTAAAGTGAAACTTCCTGCTCCTCTCCTGCAGCAAATGGTGGTGAAGGTTTTATTTCTCACCCCAGAATAGGTGAAAGAAGTCTGGAGCCTGGTACAGCCACACTTTTGGCTAACTTGGCAGTGCCCCTGACTCAGCTTCTGGACTCAATCTCTGCATTATCTTGAAGTTTTTAGGTAGACAGCAAAATTACAAAAGCCTCATCACTATGACCAATATGAACCCTTGCCTAATTATAACCTTTGCCTTAGTGGTATTCTAAAAAGAAAATTATTCAGTTAAAACACCTAATTAGCTAAAATATTGATAGTGATAATCTCTGGTTTGTGGTTTTATTGGTAATTTTTATTTCCTTCTTTATATTTTTTATTTTTCTATTTCTGTGTTATCTTAATATAATTTATTTATAATCAGGAAAATTATTAAGACTATCTTAAAATAGGTATCACAAATTTTCATAAATATAATCTGGAAGAAATATTTACAGTCAATATCATATCAACAAAGAAGTTTTCAGGTCTGGTATCTTATATAACAATGTCCCATTTTCTCTGAAATAGAAATTGCACTTGATTTTTATTCATATGAAAGTTGTGAATCAAAATCTTTTATAAGAAAAACAGACTAAAAAGATTTATTGGGCTCCATTTTAATTTTTGATGAACATATGTCATTACTACCTACTATCCCTTATGTCTGAGTGAAACAGACTTTGAGAAGGACTCAACTATCACAACACATAGAGATACCACTATTTTGGTGTCCAATTGACTCTGATGGATTCTGAATCATGAGAGGGGACTTGACATTTTGGAGTAAAATGCCACAGAATCTCAAAAGAAGACTTTGAGAATTCTCAGGGTCCACCTACACATAAGTATATAAAAAACATAGTCCAGGGATCTAAGTGGGAACTTCAATTTACCTCCTTCACTTAAGGAATCTCAATCAGTTGTTCCCCAAATAGCAAAGTACAGAGTCAGCAAAAGGACCCAAGAATTATTCACACATTGTTTATGGCTGAGTGAGCTTACAGAGTGCTGGTATATGCTGAGCACACAGCTATTTGTCATGAAGCCATCAATCAAATTCAGTTGATAATAGAAATCCCTAAATAAATGAATTACAGAAATCAATGAGTCTGCTATTCTTTCAGAGTTTAAAATCACTGAAAAATTTTCCATGGATTTAGGAGGCAATTAAATAGTGGGGCATCAATATTCCCTTATTTATTTCATAGCTTGTTCAGGCCTAACTGCTCTGTTTATCAAAGACCCAAAGAAACTGCTAAAGACAGACTCTACTGGGGTCATCTCCAGAATAAAAGGCATGCAGGCAATGGGCAAGTCACCTATTTCATGAGCTCCTAGTTATTCAATAAAGTCAAGTTCCTGGGGGCCCATCCAATCATACCTGCCAATACAGACCTGGATCTCCCTTGCCTAGTATCCCAATTAGTAGGTCCAGATGGAAGGAAAACCCACGGGCAGTTAAAAACTCTCACATTACCTGTTAAGTTTCACTTCACTTTTCCCCTCGCATTACTATAAGTAACAATGACTTTTTTGAGTCTTATCTTTTCTCCATGTTCCATTCCAAAGCATTATTATTGATGCCTAGAAATCCCAGGTGACACTCAGTAAAGGAGAGAAATAAAAGGCACATATAATTATAAATACAATAATATGCACTAAAGTGAGTTGGTTGGACAAACGTGTTGTCATGTATGAAGATTGGTAAATGTACTCTAATACTGGGCTAAAGGGGAGCCATGTACTTCTATAACAATGAAACTTAGTTTCTTTCATTGTTGACAGTACTGTTGCATCAGTCCTACGACATAGCACCATGATGGCAGCTTATAAAGGCTGCCTATTTTGTGCCTGGAACTGTGTTAAGCATTGAAAACCCGGAGATGAACACACTATGGGTCCTTCCCCATGGAAGCTCAGGCTGGTGAGTAGGGAAGACACAGAAACAAATCAGTATCATGTAGAGTGAAAAGTATGATATTTCATAAGATACAAGCAGCAAAACAAGACTATTAACTCTTTTAGGGGTAAGATCCCACCTAGAAAGAGCTCACAGGAGATGATGATCTAAGTATTGGGAGTTGAGATTAATTTAAGGAATAAGTTAAATTTAACCATCAAACAAGAAACAGAAGGCAACTCATGTGAAGGTACAAATTGTAGAATAGCCTACTATGTTGCTAACTATAAATAATTTGGTGTGGCTGGAAAATAAAGTGGACAATAATAGAGCTTCTGTCCCCTAAGGGTATACATTATCTATCCATCCTCTGATAGGGAGATTTACAGAAATGCGTCTGTTGGGGTTCTCTCAGTTGTGTAGTTTCAGTCCAAATTGAAGCTCGGATTATCACTCCATTCCTAGTCATCAGCAGCCGTATTGCACGATTGACTTCCAGTTGCACTCCACCGTAAACTCTGCTCACCTTGCTTCAGACACTTACAAGGAAATCTGACACTGAGGGAGCCAATGCATTTCCATGAAAATGCAATTACTAACAGGGCTTTATTGGCAAAAATACAAATTAAGGTCTTTCTTTCCTCCCTCATCCCTATCCATCATCCTCCTCCACTCTCCGGTCAGAGATACATTTCTAAGTATGCACCAAAAAAATACAGTTTTGTCTTTTTGAATACCCTTTGATTATAGGGATTGTGTTGTATTTATAGCTGTTCCTAGGTAGCTGACAGAGGGGCTTGCCTACAAATGATTGATGAACAGAACAATCAATCAATCAATTCATCTGATTGCTGCATTGAAGGCAAATGTGGAAGCATATGCCATGTAGAGGCAGCCAATTGAAGCAAAGGAAAATATTATGCATTGTCTGCGATTTTAATGACCTAGGAGATGAAGGTATATGAGAAATCATAAACATCCATCTTTGCATAAATCCTAACTAAAAATAAAATAATGGTAAGGTGATGTCGGTTAGAATGTCTTGGCTACAAGAAATGGAAAATTTATTGCCTAAACAATAAGGAAAATGTATTCTCTCACATAAGAAGTCTAAAGTTCCAGGGTTGATTCATTCAGTGTCTCAACAATAACATCTTTTTGATCTGCCGTCTTTGGGCTTTTAGTCCTGTTTGCCTTCTTTGCAGTTATAATTTGGTATAGTAGCTTCAAACATCATATGCTCATACAATATTCAAATGCTGGATGGGGAAATTAGGGCACATCTCTTTCTGATATTTTCTTCATGTTTCTTTGGACAAAATTATATTCTATGCCCCGTCCTAAGCCAATGGCAGTCAAGGGGACTGGAATTATTAGCTACAGATTAATCAGGTTCCACCTTGCTGGGAGGCTGGGGAGAGTCCCAGGATCCACCAGGAACATGAGTGAAATAAAGGTTCCAAAGGAAGGAATTAGGGGGTGGGAAAACACAAGTAAGATTTGTTGTTAAATAGGCAACCAACAGTGTTCTCAACAGCCAATGACCTGTCTAGCTTCATTTTATTGCATTCATCTAATTCCCAAAGGGTCAAAAGAAACAAGTCAACCATATTTTCCCCAAAAAGAGACACAGATGTATTACTTTTTAAGAAAGAAGAAATAGAAAAATAATACTTCAACAAAAACTAATCAAGAAGAAGGAAAACTAAAATAAGAAGATCCTAAAGACTTTCAAGCACCATTATCTTTAAGTGAAAAAATACTGTGTCTACTATTGTGGATTATCTTTCCCAAATAGAGATTAAGATTTCAGTACTACACTGGATACAGTAAGTCAAATTTCCTCCATGTATTTCTTCTGTTGGCAGGAAAGATTGAAAAGTGATCATATTTAATGCAAGAAACAATAGACAAATAAAAACAGCCAGAGACTCAACTTCTAGCTACAAGCCTTATAATTACATTTGCTATGTCTGCAATCCATTACCCAGAAATATGCAAGTTTCACCAAGTCTTTGAGGATAACACTAATTAATTTGTTAATTTATTCCAAAGTTATTCTGGTGGGCAGAATAATTTAGCTCTAACTACAAGTTAATACAGTTTTAAGAAACCTTTCTGGAATTGAGTGCCTGTCACACATTTAGCATTAATACCATGTTGCAATATTTAAAAGTTTATTAACATAAAATATTTCAAGCTATACATTTTTAAATTAATCTCAAACTACATTGAAGATTACACCCATTAAGCATACCCTTTAAGAGTTGAGTATCAGGCATAACAATCACCACTGGTTGCCTAGCAACCATGGTACCTGCACTTACAGTAAGTTTATCCTAAACACTAATGTAAAATCAGTGATGAATATTTTTCCACTTCGAGTGTCTATTTCCTCGAAAAAAATGCACTTTTTCTGTTACTAATGATTCTGTATTTTGCTATTCTGGGGAGTTGAATTTCAAGGAAAGAATTGGGAAGGGGGCGTCTTGGTTATTAAGCTTCCATCTATCGTCAACAAGAAGTCCTAAGAATAATACCCAAATAT